ACCAGTTGTTTTAAATTTCACAATGTTTGCAAAATACCTGTGTAAGATTTTTTATTATGAATAATTTATGAATAAAAATATTTTTGCAAATCTCTTCTCCTTTAAATTAATATCATTTTTCAACAGACACAATGAAGGCAAACACACGAAGATAATGCAATTATCTTTTCCAGGTTCTCACTAGGAGTGACCTTAATACATAATACAAAATTAAAAGTATTAAAACGATACGCCTGGAATGATCAAAATACATAGACAGACAGACAAGATATACAGGGAAAAAGCTTATAACTTATAATGGCAAGAGAGTGATGGAGTGAGTGATGATACAAGTGTTTCTTCTTTTCTGGGTCACCCTCCCTTGGTGGGAAACCGCCTATGTTAAAAAAAAAATAACTAGCAAAACCATAGGACCTCTGGTCACCAAATAATAAAAATAGATAAACAACTAAACAAACAGATTTCATTAATCAGCTCTAAATAAAAGCATAAACTGAAAATGAAAATATACTTGACAAAAAAAAAAAACAGCAAATACATAAGAATGGAAGAATTTAGCAATATTTATATGTGCACCATACCGTACTATACGTATTGAAATCTGGGGTTATCGTGTTTCTCAAGAACTTATTATGTAATATAATAAGAAGCGCCTGTCATTAAACATAGGCCATCAGCCTTATCAGATGTTGTAGATCTCTCTGAAAACACATTTATCTGCTTGGCTTTATATATTGCTGTTTGAAAACTTATTGTACTACAATCATTCCCGATGCCTGACTGAAATTTTTTCTAGACAAAGTACGAGGACCAGCTGGATTTACTATGGTGGAAGTAAACGAATTTCCTAAATTATGTTGCAAGCTTTCTTACATATATTCACACTGTAGCATTAACAATATCACATATATATTGTTTATAAATGAACTGCTAGTCTTTGAAAGCTTTTTGTGTTTCTGTCATTTAATTACTAGCTCGATTACTAGCGCCCTCGGCTCATACACTGAGGTCTGGGGATCGATCTCCAGTACGGGTGGAAACATTAGGATGTGTTTCCTTAAGGCACCTGCTGTCCATGTTCACCTAGCAGTAAAATGGGTGCCTGGGTGTTAGTTGACTGGTGTGGGTCGCATCCTGGGACAAAATTGACTTAATTTTCCCGAAACACTCTGCATAACAATGGGTTTCTATACAGTAGTACGTTACTAATGTCAGCTAGACCTGTATGCGTACCTTGTAGCTGTACTTGTAGAAATAAAGATTATTATTATTATTAGCCACACATGTCATTCACAGCTCAAAAATTTATGGTATGAACAAATTATAAAATTAAATATGCAGGACAAATAAAAAATGCAAGAATGCCAAGTGAGCCTCCAAGTAAAGTTAGTGTGGTCAAATCAAAAGTAAGCACTAAATCCACAAGTCATACAGTATGGCACTACAGTTTGCGTAATTATTTTACAAATTTCATTAAACTCTAAGCTGTGATCACAATTACTTCTACCGTATACTAGTAGTCCTTTAACATCCCTGAATGTAGCAGATAATGCACGCAAAGAGCAGCTGTTCTTCTCCAACAAAGGTAATCTTAGTATTGATAAGATAGCAATTGACCATATATTTTTTTTTTTCCAACATGCTGGCTGTTTCTCACTGAAGCAGGGTAAGCTGAAAAAGAAACACTTTCATCATCATTTACACTGTCACTGTCTTGTCAGAAGCAGCAAAATCAAATCAAATTAACTTGCATCCATGGATCTATTATACAAACTTAAAAAAATAATTTTTATAATTATTATTATTATTAACAATAATAATAGTAGTAGTAGTAGTAGTAGTAATAATAATAATAATAATAATAATAATAATAATAATAATAATAATAATAATAATAATAATAATAATAATAATAATAATAATAATAATATAATAATAATAATAATAATAATAATAATAAAAGTAGTAGTAATAATACAGCCTCTCCTTACTTAACGACGGAGTTCAGTTCCTAAGACCACATCGGTAAATGAATTCATCTCTAAGTGAGGAGCATACTATAATGGTAGTGGGTTGTGTCAACCAACTTTGATATTGTTTTAATGTCACCTTTGAATCATTTATAACATTTTTAGTATATTTTTAAATGTTTATGCAGTAGTTTATTGTATATGTACATGTATTGTAATATGTACAGTGGACCCCCGGTTATCGGCCGGTTTGGTTATGGCCAACTTGGTTATCGGTGGGGTTTTCGGCACTCGGTTATTGGCCGTTCGCTCGGTTATCAGCCATTTTGGACGCGTCCATCCGCCGGCTGGGGCAGCTTGCGCTTCAGCTTGGCTTTGTCTCTCGGTGACTGAGGAAGCTTCTGCTCATACATCCAAACATTTTGCTTGTTTACCATTGTTTTTAGTGGTTTTTCTTGCAGTGCAACTGTGAAATAAGTAACCATGGCTCCAAAGAAAGTTCCTAGTAAAGTTCCTGTGGTAAAGAAAGTGAGAAACACCATGGAATTTAAGCGTGAAGTGATAGCAAAATTTGAGTGTGTTATGAAGGTGGTGGAACTTGCCAGGATGTACAGCAAGAATAAATCAACAATTACATCCATCCTGGCAAAGAAAGAACAAATTAAAGATGCTAATGTTGCAAAAGGAGTAACTTTTCTAACTAAACAAAGGACACCGATAATGGAAGTTATTATTATTGTGGATTAAGGAAAAAGAATTAGTGGGAGACAGTGTAGTGGAGTTGATCATTTGTGAGAAGGCAAAGCAGTTGCATGAGGATCTTGCAAAGAAAATGCCTGGAACAAGTGCTGCAGTTTGTGAATTTAGGGCCAGCAAAGGATGGTTTGATAGATTTAAGAAGCGTAGTGGCAACACAGTGCTGTAAGGGATGGTGAGGCTGCAAGTTCTGACAAATGTGTGGCTGAAAAGTATGTTCACGAATTCCAGGACTATGTAAAGGCTGAAGGATTCAAACCCCAACAAGTTTTCAATTGTGATGAAACAGGCCTGTTTTGGAAGAAAATGCCAAACAGGACCTACACTACCCAGGAGGAAAAGGCATTGCCAGGACACAAGCCTATGAAAGACAGGCTTACTCTTTTGTTGTGTGGTAGTGCTAGTGGGGATTTCAAAGTGAAGCCTTTACTTGTGTATCACTCAGAAAAATCCCAGAGTGTTTAAGAAAAACAATGTCATGAAGAATAGATTGTGTGTGATGTGGAAAGCTAATCATAAGGCATGGGTCACAAGGCAAATTTTCAAAGAGTAAGTTAATGATGTGTTTGGCCCGAGTGTGAAAAAATACCTCCTGGAAAAGAAATTGCCACTCAAGTGCCTCCTGTTACTGGACAATGCTCCTGCACATCCTCCAGACTTGGAAGACCAAGTGTTTAGGGACTTCAGTTTTATAAAAGTGAAGTTCTTGCCTCCTAACACCACTCCTCTCCTCCAGCCCATGGACCAGCAGGTCATTTCTAACTTCAAAAAACTCTACACAAAAGCAGTTTCAAAAGTGCTTTGAAGTGACCTCAGACACCCAGTTGACCCTAAGAGAGTTCTAGAGGAATCACTTCACTATCCTCCATTGCATAAGCCTTATAGGTAAGGCTTGGGAGGGAGTAACTTCCAGGACTTTGAACTCTGCTTGGAGAAAACTGTGGCCAGATTGTGTCCAGGAGAGGGATTTTGAAGGGTTTGAGACTCACCGTGACCCTGACCCTGCCCGACCCTGTGGACTCTATTGTGTCTTTGGGGAAGTCCCTGGGGTTGGAGGTGAGTGGTGAGGATGTGGAAGAGTTGGTGGAGGACCACAGGGAAGAGCTTACCACTGAAGAGCTGCAAGAGCTTCAACTTGAACAGCAGCAGACTGCAGCTGAGGAACTTGCTTCAGAGGAGGAGGAAGAGGAAGTGAAGGAGGTGCCTTCTTCAGAGATTAAAGAGGTGTGTGCAATGTGGACCAGGGTGCAAGCTTTTGTAGAGAAACACCACCCTGACAAAGCTGAAACAAGCCATATCTGCAACATGTTTAGTGACAAAACCCTGTCCCACTTCAGGGAAATCTTAAAGAGAGGCCAGAAACAAAGCACTCTAGACAGTTATTTTGTGAGACAGGGTCCAGTGACTCTCCAGCTGGTTCTAGTGGCATTAAATGACAGAGAAGGGAAGTAACCCCAGAGAAGGCATTGCTACCTAAAGTCTTCATGGAGGGGGATTCCCCTTCCAAACACTAACTCCTCCCTCTTTCCTCCTCCCTATCTTCCAGAAGCCAGCACTAGCCTTCAATAAAGGTATGTAATACATAATTGTAAAAAAAAAATTTTTTTGTGAATATTTTTGTTTGGAACAAATTAATTTTATTTCCATTATTTCTTATGGGAAATATTAATTTGGTTATCGGCCATTTCGGTTATCAGCCGACCTTCAGGAACGGATTACGGCCGATAACCGGGGGTCCACTGTAAACAGAATAGAAGAAATCAGCTCTAATACACATTGTATTTAGGTATGCATACTGGTAAGAGAGCCTGTCATAAGTCCAAGTCATTGGTAAATGAGCACGTCGTTAAGTGAGGAGAGGCTGTAATAATAATAGTAATAATAATAATGGGGAATCACTAAATCCACTGAGGTCATACAACATAGGGAACAAAAAGTACAGTACAGTAGAAAGCTCGGAACCATGGATTCGGAATCTGTGGTTTCAGTTATCCATGGTCTACTGTGGCACGAAAATAACCCTTAATGTTGCCTAATAATGGCCCCAAAGCACAAAAGCAGTGATGGTGGCAGCTCTTCAAAGCCTAAGAGAAGCTGTGAAGTGCTTTCCATCAGTGAAAAAAGTGCTAATTCTCAATTTATTGTGCATAATTTATCAGTTAAACTTTATCATAGGTATATGTAAACACCAGACAACTTATACATGGGGGTTCTCTACTATGCATGGTTTCAAGTATCCATTGTAGGTCTTGGAATGTATCTCCCATGGATACAGGGAAAAAAAATTGTAATCTGGTTTGATCCAAGAAATGGGAGAGCATCAAGCAGAGGTCCTAGAGATGGTAAAAGAGGAAATAACATTGAAGAGAGGACAATAGTACAAAGGAAGTGAAGGGACGTCACATTAGGTGTAAGTAACAAGTGTCAGTTATGAAATCACCGAGAGTCTGCACTGGCAGTAGGACCGACTGTGAGAAGGGCAGAAAACATCAGCCTATTAGGGCACTGCAGATGGCATCCGAAATAAGGCTGTGATGCTCTTGGATGAATGAGACAGTTAAACAATGGATGCTAGACTGTCAGTAAGGCCTGATAATTCTGACAGTGGTGTCAGGCACCCAGTACGGTGTTCAAGAATAAATGTTTTGCATTTTGATCTGAAAATATTGGCAGTGGCATCACTTGATGGTGACAACACCAACATGACTGTGAAAACATCAACACGACCATGACAATACCAACACGATCGTGGCAACAACATGATTGTGACAACACCAACATGACCGTGACAACACCAACATGACCATGCCAACATCAGCATGACCATGACAACATCAACATGACCGTGAAAACATCAACACGACTGTGACAACACCAACACGACCATGACAACAACACGACCATGAAAACATGACCGTGACAACAACAACATGACCGTGACAACACCAATATGACTGTGACAACACTAACACGACCGTGAAACACCAACACGACCATGACAACACCAACATGACCATGACAACAACACGGCTGTGAAAACACCAACGCAACCATGACAACACCAACATGACCGTGACAACACCAATATGACTGTGACAACACTAACACGACCATGACAACAACATGACCATGAAAACATGACCGTGACAACAACAACATGACTGTGACAACAACACGACTGTGACAACACGACCGTGACAACACCAACATGACCATGACAACACCAATATGACTGTGACAACACTAACACGACCGTGAAACACCAACACAACCATGACAACACCAACACGACCGTGACAACAACACGACCGTGACAACAACACGACTGCGACAACAACACGACTGTGACAACACCAAAACAACACCAACATGACTGTGGCAACACCAACATGACCATGACAACACAAAAACAGTAGTAATCACAGTGTTTATCAGATCACTGGGTTACCGCAGCGTTAATTTATTTAGGTACAAACATAAGTAAGTCAGTAAGTAAGTTTATTCAGGTATACACAAACACAGTTACATAGAATTATCATACATAGCAGCATATGTGTAGAGAACCTGGGATAACATAAAGAAGTCAGACAGTGACTTATTTCCATTGGGGTCCTTTTACCTTATTATTATATAAACGTTATAATATTTTCTTATTATTCTATAATGAAGATAACATCTTATTATCATACTAAAAAGACTATCTACTACACGAGGGTCATTAAGACTATCTACAATACATAAGTAAAATTTTAA